AACCCCTCGACCTGCAGGTACTGGTTGACCTTCAGCGCCCCGTCAGCAGCCATGCTGCCCGCTGGAGGCACACACAATATCAGGTCAATAACCGATCAATAACGGGTCACTATCCGATCAATAACGGGTCACTATCTGATCAATAACAGGTCAATATCCAATCAATAACCGATCAATAACGGGTCACTATCCGATCAATAACGGGTCAATATCCGATCAATAACAGATCAATATCCGATCAATAACGGGTCACTATCTGATCAATAACAGGTCAATATCCAATCAATAACAGGACAATATCCGATCAATAACAGATCAATATCCGATCAATAACAGATCAATATCCGATCAATAACAGGACAATATCCAATCAATAACAGATCAATATCCGATCAATAACAGATCAATATCCGATCAATAACAAATGGGACCATCAGCTGATTGGAGGTCTCGGAGACTAAAAGCTGCTAAATCCCTGCAGTTTGATGCTAAGCTAGCAGCTGATAATGTTTGTAAAGTTAAAGTCTAAATGAGCAGCAATTTGTCTCATTTAGTCGGTTATGAGACAAATTTACACTTTTATTCAGTTTCAAACCAAATATTTAGCTCAGTGTGTATCTAGCATCACATTACGCTAAATATTTAGCTGTCAAGCTAAATATTTGCTTTGCTAGCTAAACATTTAGCTTGCCACGTAACTATTTAGCTTATTGTGTAGCTAAATATTTAGCCACACACTGACATCTGGAAATGAAAGAACAACATGGAGCGTATATGACTGAAAAAAGAATCACTATTTCTTCTCATCACAGTTTAAATCTCCCAAATTCCTTTGAACAGCGCCCCCCGGTGGAGCCACAGCGCCCCCCGGTGGAGCCACAGCGCCCCCCGGTGGAGCCACAGCGCCCCCCGGTGGAGCCACAGCGCCCCCCGGTGGAGCCACAGCGCCCCCCGGTGGAGCCACAGCGCCCCCGGTGGAGCCACAGCGCCCCCCGGTGGAGCCACAGCGCCCCCCGGTGGAGCCACAGCGCCCCCGGTGGAGCCACAGCGCCCCCCGGTGGAGCCACAGCGCCCCCCGGTGGAGCCACAGCGCCCCCCGGTGGAGCCACAGCGCCCCCCGGTGGAGCCACAGCGCCCCCCGGTGGAGCCACAGCGCCCCCCGGGTGGAGCCACAGCGCCCCCCGGTGGGGACCCACCCAGGCTGGAGGCGTAAGCTCCAGAGTTGATCCTGATGCCGGTGCAGCAGATGATCAGGTCCGTCTCCAGAGTTTCTCCCTTGTCCGTTTTGACCTGTAGGTTCTTCTGGGTCCGGTTCAGCGGCAGCTCAGACAAGTTGGACACCTTCTGACCTGAAACACAGCAGTAGGTTGTCCAGAACCTGGGAAGGACCAGCTAACGGCTAGCAGCTAACGGCTAGCAGCTAGCGTACCCAGAACCAGTTCCACTCCCTTCTCCAGCAGAACTTCCTTGGCCTGCTGCCTGACGCTCTGGACCAGCTGCGGGTCGGCCAGCCCGATCCTGGAGTGGATCAGAACCACCTGGAAGAGAAACAGAGATGAGGATGGAGTCCTGAGCGCCGGGTTCTGCAGGTTCCGGAGGCCCAGACCAACTGGGTTCATGCACAGCAGACTTAACGTCAGATTTATGTATTTCTGTCCCTTCTGGGCCTCCGTAGCCCTCAGGCGTCACTTTCATTCTGAAAATCATTTTGTGACCCAACCTTGGAGTCTCCCGACCCCCAAGGGTTCCCGAGCCCCCAGGTTAGGAACCCCGGTCCTGCAGGGACCACCCAGAAGCAGAACTGGAGGCGGTTCTGATCCGATTCATGGAGTCAGAGCAACTCAGAACTTAAGCTGGACCCAACAGAACCTTCAGGTCTAGTGTGAACCCGTTTTAGCAGGGGTAACGGAACCAGAACCTTTCATACAGAGTGAAGGGTAAAGTTCTGTTGAGTACTGCAGAACCCGACCAGAGCCAGAACCCGACCAGAGCCAGAACCCGACCAGAGCCAGAACCCGACCCACCTTCTTGTCTGGATACTCCGTCTTGATCTCAGCTGCCATCTCCACCCCTGTAGCTCCGCCCCCGACCACCAGAACCGAGTCGGCCGCCTGGATCTGGACCCACACACACACACAGAGCCAGTGAGCGGCGTCCTGTCCCATCATCCTCTCTGTCCTCCTCTGTCTCACCTGTCCCACCATGTCCTCGTACGCCGTCACGCCGTCCTGCAGCGACGCCTCGATGTTGAACTTCCCAGGGAACGGACCATCAGAACCGGTACACAGGATCAGGTGGGAATACTGGACCTCCTGTGGTAGGGGAACATCGGTCAGAGCTCAGCTGGCCGGCAGGGGGCAGCAGCAGCTCCCGCCCCACGCCGCCCCGCCTCACCCTGCCGCCCTGTAGAACCACCAGCTGCCGCTCCGGGTCCACGCGCTCCACGCGACCCTGCAGGAAGCTGGTTCCGAACGTCTCCGCAAACGGGATGAAGGTCCGCTGGGCGAAGCCTGGGGTCAGAGGTCAGAGGTCAGGGAGTGCAGGGGGCAAGCAGCGACAGGTCGGAGCGGTCGGTACCGGGCTGCACTGAGGCCCGCAGCGACGCCACGTTGTGGTGGAAGGAGTCCCGCAGGTCCAGCAGGGTGAAGCCGAACCCGGCCGAACGGAGCTGCTGCGCCGCCGCGATGCCGCCGAACCCGCCGCCCACCACTACCACATGGACCCCGTCCGGAACCGAGACCTGGGCCCCCATCTGGAGACACACACACAATTCAGCACCGAACCTTCGACCGCACCTCAGAATCTGTGCAGAGCTTGGCCTCTAACTGGTCCCGGTTCGGGAAGCAGGTGGATCGGAACCAACCCTCAGAGATCCTACCTCTGTGAAGCTAACTGATCCTGACTGGACCGGTTCCGTTCGCCAGGAGTTCTGCAGAAGATCACGGCTCCGGTTCCCGGTTCTGAACGTTCTGAAGGAGGGAGGGGAAAGTTCGGTTCTGACCCGGTAAACACGTCGGTTCCGAACCCCCCGGAACCCGTCATGAAACCAGTTCAGAACCCAGCACGAGTCCCCCCAGAACACTGTGACGTCACACGCAGCTGACGTCACGCGGGACGTAAACTCACCTGCCGCAGGTTCGGAACTCGGATCCAGTTTCAGTCCAAAGATCACAGCTGCTTTTTCCTCCTTCAGCCCCGCCCTCCTCTATCTGACGTCAGCAGCTCTGCGCCAATCAGAGCGCATCCGCTCCTCATGAAGGGAGGCTGTGGTGCGTTCATGGACCGCAGGAAAACAAAAAACAAGCAGAGCTGATGCTACAGAAGCAAAGTTCTGTCTTTAGTCTTCCTGCCGGTTCTGTTGGATCTGCCGATTTTGTTGGATCTGTTCTTTATTAAAGGATGGATTCGGTTCTGATGATTTGTGGGTCAGAACCAGTGCATCATGTTCACTGAACCCGAATTTATTTCCTACCAGTTCTCTCTGTGCTCCTCAGTGATCGGTTCTGATCCAATCAGCGGCTCTCCTGCTGACTCAGCACTTTTTTCTGCTGAGTCAGCATTAGGAAACTGCAAACCTGTGTCATAATGGGGGTGTGAAAGGTCATGAGGTCATGATGTAAGAAGTGGAGTCTTTCTACTGGAGGAGGTCAAACATCCCATATTGCAGCCGCTCTGTAATGCAGCCGGTTCTAACTGATGATTCCTGTTTGATCCGTCAAACAGAACTCCAGGATCCTGACTGGTTCTGAATCTTCCTCATCTAGAACCTCATCAACATCATGCATCAAAGGTTCTGCTTCACTGAGGAGAACCGGCCAAACCGGACCTGCAGCGCTATCAGAGAGGAGATCAGAACCAGGCGCAGCTCAAGATCTGCTCCAGTTCTTCTAACTCAGAACCACCAGAACCGATTAGAACCTACAAAACCACAAGAACCATCAGAACTACCAGAATCACAATCAGAACCACCAGAACCTCGCTTTATGCATGGTCTAGTTAAAGCATCATGGTACCAATCCGCACAGGCAGCAGTGAAAGCAGAACCAGAAGTGGTCTGAGCAACAGAATGTGATTGGACCAGCAGAACCGGTCCTGCTTCATGTTTTCATCAGACTGCAGCTCCTTACCCTCACATCCTCCTCCAGCCCGACCAGAACCCTACAGTCCACCGGCCGACTCAGAACCTGCAGAACCTCTAATGTTGGTCCTTCAGCCATAAGAACCTAAAATCTCCTGTTGAGGTTCCTGGTGAAATGAATCAAATATTAATGATGTAAAAGCGGTTTCAGCAGCAGCAGCTCCACGGTTCGGATGGGCACTGGACCTCTGGTCTACCTGTGTTTTTACACCGTAACGGTGACGTCATTTTCTTCAGAAAACTTCCAAGTTCTTCCCTGTTCCCCTGTAGTTCAGACCTGCTGTGTTTTAGCGCCCTCCAGCGGAAGAATTGTGCTCTGCACCATGTTTAATTCCGACCGATCAGAATTCCGTCAAGTCAGCAGCAGTGACAGCAGCACACCGGAACAGGTTATTCTCCTGCCAAAATAAAAGCTGCCGGGGTTTTAATCTTTCAGTTCGGCAGCGAAGATTCTCTGCGAGCTGATCAATTAAGTCAGGGGTGTCCAAACTTTTTGCAAAGGGAGCCAGATTTGAGGTGTTAAAAATATAGGGGGCCAACCTTGGCGGACGTTCTTTACATATAACAGCAATTAATTTAAATACATTTCAGCGAGCTGTTGTGTGTTTCACATTTGCTTTTTTATTTTAATTTCGGCCATCTTAAGCATATGTTTTGGTTCATTTGAAACATACATATCAAAATTCAATTGACATTGAAAATTGAAATTAAATATTCATTTAACTTCACTTTTTTAACACTAACTTTTTTGTAACAGTTGAAGAGAAGTAATTGTACTCTTGGGTGCAAATTACATTTGAAACATTAAAAAAATCTCAAAATGGGACTTTAATATTTACAGAATTTTTAAACACAATAACAGAGAAATTGTCATATCAACAAGTGCAGGGCTCATTTAAAATATGACAGTAACTATAAATGTTGATTAGCACACCTCTCTCTGGCTTGGCGGCGCGGGGACAGGACGCTGCGCACTAGTGAAACGGTGAAAGGTTTGCAATGCTTTGCGATCAGCGCTGCTACCTCGTAACTAGCCTTTGTAGCATTCTCGTTTGACTCTCGAGCTTTTGTAAAATATTGCTGCTGTGAGATTAAGCTAGCTTCAAGGTGTTTCAGTTTCTCGCTGCGTTCATTACCTGTGATCTTGTCATGTGCCTCAGCATGTTTAGTTTGATAATGTCGCTTCACATTGAACTCTTTAAAAACAGCCACTGTCTCTTTACAAATGAGGCAAACACAGTTGTTATGTATTTCAATGAAGAAATAGTCCAATTTCCACCCATCCTTGAACCGTCGGCCCTCGCAGTCAACTTTCCTCCTTTTGCTAATTGCCGCCATTTTAGAAAATTGGGGGGGCTCACATACTAATTTGCTGTTCCTATTTGAGCCTCTAGATGTCAGCACTTAGAACACGCAAGTAATGTATTACACGCGGCCAGGCGTTATTGATTCTATGACGGAGGCTGCGGGCCGGATGAAAATTGACCACGGGCCGCATTTGGCCCCCGGGCCGGACTTTGGACATGTCTGAATTAAGTCAACCGTTAGGACCAGTTCATCATTCTAACTGGCTAAACTGGTTCTGGCTGGAGAGCCCAGAGGTAAATCTTCAGTTAATACCAATAATACTGTTTGTTGCTTTAAATAATGCTTGCTCAAATATGTTAATTTAATACACTAAATTAAACTTTATTATGTCTGTACAGTAGCTAATGTAGTAAGTAATAAGTAAATGGTATAAAGTGATACCTGTTGGAGTAAGAAGATACTGAAGACATCAAATAATATTATGCAGCAAATGAAACATCTAAAGCATTTTACGGTAATTAACTGATGGAGGATAAGTTCAAGAAAAAGACAGAAGAAAGAAACCATGAAATCGGCTGAAAAATGGAGTGGTTTTGTGTCTTATTTTGAAATCAAACCGGAAGTGATTTTGTGTGTCTGTGACTTTGTTTTTGCTCCGGTCAGTTCGCGTCTCGGTTCTCTGGGTCAGCAGCTCCGGGAACGGTTCGGTAGCGGTTGACTCAGCTCCAGTATCTCTTCCATGGAGGAGCCGTGAGGTTCGGACCGGACCGGAGCAGAACTTTCTGTGGGTAAGTCAGTCCCAGTTAGCGGATGGTTCCGCTGTCCGAACCGGCCGCAGCGAACGGCGCGGATATAAACTTCATAACTTTCTGTCTCGGTTTGCCTCGCGAGCCTTTTGTTCCTGCGGCGCGCGCCTCCGTTCCCATGGTGAAGCTTCTCCGGCCCGCGAGCCTCTCCGATCAGAGCCGAGGGCTCTCCGGAAACAGACGAGGGACCGAGGAGCGGACTCGGTTTTTATTCTGAAACTCGCACAACAGATGGATTCATTCTGACTTCAGGACTTTTGGAACCGCTGGAACAGAACCAGGTCATTAGAACCGGGCATGAAATTAAGACTTTAATTTGAAGGCTAGCTACGATGCTGGTTCTGTAGCTGAGGAAGTTCGGTCCAATCTGGTCCTGTTCAAAACACCAACTGGTCCAAACTTTTCTGTCAGGAAGCCCAGTTCCTCTGGAGCAAGCGCGTGGCGACAGTGGAGAGAAACTACTTCCTGTTAACCTGAAGAAACGTTTATCAGAACCAGAACCGAGTTCACACACAAAGCAGCTCTGGTCGGTTACTGGGACTCAGTGGTCGGTTACTGGGACTCGGTGGTCGGTTACTGGGACTCGGTGGTCGGTTACTGGGACTCGGTGGTCGGTTACTGGGACTCGGTGGTCGGTTACTGGGACTCGGTGGTCGGTTACTGGGACTCGGTGGTCGGTTACTGGGACTCGGTGGTCGGTTACTGGGACTCGGTGGTTCTGTCTTGTTGACAAGAAGTGATGTTTTCTGTGTATTTTCTTTGGTCTTGTTTTTTGGGTCGGTTCTGTGTGTTTGCTGTTTGTGGACCTGGAGTTTTATGGAACCCGGTTCTGATCCCTGATGGTTCCCACTGTTAGAACTCTGATAGAACCCAGGACTCATCCCTGAGGTACTCCACAAGCTTCACGGGTTCTGGAGGTTCTGAGGCTGCATGGGACGACTCGGTTCCGGACGTTTGAACCTGCTGTGACTCTGTTGGTCAGATGACGACGCGCTCTGCTCCCGCCAGGTGAGACAACACAGCGTGATGCTGTGTTGTCTCACAGCATCACAGATGGAGGAGGCGGAGCCTAGCCGCTATGTGACCCAGCTGAGGGCGGAGTTTGACGGCTGCGATTCGACGGCGACGGGCTTCCTGGACCGGGAGGAGCTGACCGAGCTGAGCAGGAAGCTGCAGCTGGACGCACACCTGCCGCTGCTGTTGGACACGCTGCTGGGAGAGCGGCACCACGGCAGGGTAACCGGTTCTACTGGACCAGAACTATTGGTTCTGCAGGGTTCTGCCGGGCTCAGTCCAGGTTCTTTGTGTTCCAGGTGAACTTTGAGGAATTTAAGAATGGCTTGGTGGTGGTTCTGTCCCACTCTCTGGACTTCAGCACCTCAGAGGACGACAGCAGCTACCTGGAGTCAGGTGAGACACTGCAGGGTCCGGTAGTCAGTGGTTCTGGTTCTGGCCCAGCCAGATGACTTCCCCCTCCTCCTCTTCCTCCTGCAGCCGTCCCGCAGGAGGTAAAGCCAAAGTTTGTGAAGGGAGCAAAGCGTTATGGCCGCCGCTCTCGACCCGAAACCCAGTCCAGTACCAGCCTGGACTCGACCCCAACCAGAACCAAACCCGTGGACCTGAACCTGGACTCGTCTCCGCCCGGCGTCCGCAGGGCCAAACTGAGACGGTCCACGTCTTTGGAGAGCGTGGAGGTGAGCAGGTTATTATTAGCCTCTGTTAGCCTGTTAGCCTCTGTTAGCCTGTGTTAACCTCTGTTAGCCTGTGTTAACCTCTGTTAGCCTGTGTTAACCTCTGTTAGCCTGTGTTAACCTCTTAGCCTGTGTTAGCCTCTGTTAGCCTGTGTTAACCTCTGTTAGCCTGTGTTAGCCTCTGTTAGCCTGTGTTAACCTCTGTTAGCCTGTGTTAGCCTCTGTTAGCCTGTGTTAACCTCTGTTAGCCTGTGTTAGCCTCTGTTAGCCTGTGTTAACCTCTGTTAGCCTGTGTTAGCCTCTGTTAGCCTGTGTTAACCTCTGTTAGCCTGTGTTAACCTCTGTTAGCCTGTGTTAGCCTGTGTTAACCTCTGTTAGCCTGTGTTAGCCTCTGTTAGCCTGTGTTAACCTCTGTTAGCCTGTGTTAGCCTCTGTTAGCCTGTGTTAGCTGTGAACCTTTGTTAGCCTATATTAGCTTATGTTGCCTCTAGCAGAACGCAGTGTGGGTGGCGGTCGGTCGCCTCTTTCCTTGAAATGTTGAATAAACCTGCAATTGAACCAGCAGTTATTATTGTTGCCCTGGAGATAGTCTACTATTGCATCAATAATAGCTATTGAGGCTATTATTGAAAATGGATCTTTCCCTTAAAAAATGTGCAGATTAGTTAATACTATGATCAAGAATCCTGAACAGTGACACTCACACTGATTTTTCCCGCTCCAGGGAGAGACCCATGCTACTGGAATAAACTAAATCTTCTGTTTTCAGAAGGTTTTATTCTTCTTTTATTGAACCTGGTTGAACTCCTGGAATGATCAGCTGCTCTGGCAGCCTTAGCCTTGACCCTGACATTAGCATTAGCCTTAGCTTTAGTTTTTTGTGCATTTCATTTACAGTCTGAACTCGGAAACTTTTAGTGGAAGGCCATTGAAGTTGGACCTCCTACTCACAAACTTAAGGCTGACTTTGCGTTCAATATGGCCGCTCCTTGCAGCAGGAAACGTCTAAAACCAATGCAACACGTAGCGCCTGCAGCTCAACTGAACTGATCACAGTGGTGATGATGGTGAATGCTTTTACTACAGGTGGCATATGCTGCTCCAAATTCCAGCTTTTAGTCCTTAATTGCACGTTGGTAGGTCAGTAAAGATGAAATCGGACCATTAGATAAAGTTCCGGTTCTGCTGCAGCATCTCTACTCAGACTTTAATCTGAACCAGGATCAGCTGCTGTAGAACCGGACCAGAACCAGATCAAATTCTCTCAGCAGTGTGTGTGTGTGTGTGTGTGTGTGTGTGTGTGTGTGTGTGTGTGTGTGTGTGTGTTCGTCCAAGTCGCTGTTCATCCAGCAGAACTAAATCTGCTCAGGAATTCCTTATGATTACAGTTTATACTGCTGCTGGGACTCACACACTGAACACACACTCTGAACACACACACACTGAACACACTCTGAACACACACACTACACTCTGAAACACACACACTGAACACACACACTGAACACACACTCTGAACACACACACTGAACACACACTCTGAACACACACACACACTGAACACACACACACTGAACACACACACTGAACACACACACACTGAACACACACTACACTCTGAACACACACACACTGAACACACACACTGAACACACACTCTGAACACACACACACTGAACACACACTCTGAACACACACACTGAACACACACACACTGAACACACACACTGAACACACACTCTGAACACACACACTGAACACACACACACTGAACACACACACACTGAACACACACACTACACTCTGAACACACACTCACTGAACACACACTGAAACACACACTCTGAACACACACACACTGAACACACACTCTGAACACACACACTACACTCTGAACACACACTCACTGAACACACACTCTGAACACACACACTGAACACACACTCTGAAACACACACACACTGAACACACACACACTGAACACACACACTGAACACACACACTCTGAACACACACACTGAACACACACACTGAACACACACACTGAACACACACACTGAACACACACTCTGAACACACACACACTGAACACACACACACTGAACACACACTCTGAACACACACACTGAACACACACACTGAACACACACTCTGAACACACACACACTGAAACACACACACTGAACACACACTCTGAACACACACACACTGAACACACACACACTGAACACACACTCTGAACACACACACACTGAACACACACACACTGAACACACACACTGAACACACACACTGAACACACACACTGAACACACACACTGAACACACACTCTGAACACACACACACTGAACACACACTGAACACACACACTCTGAACACACACACACTCTGAACACACACACTGAACACACACACACACTGAACACACACACTGAACACACACTCTGAACACACACACTGAACACACACTCTGAACACACACACTACACTCTGAACACACACACACTGAACACACACTCTGAACACACACACACTGAACACACACACACTGAACACACACACACTGAACACACACACTCTGAACACACACACTGAACACACACACTGACACACACACACTGAACACACACACTGAACACACACTCTGAACACACACACACTGAACACACACACACTGAACACACACTCTGAACACACACACACTGAACACACTCTGAACACACACACACTGAACACACACACACTGAACACACACACTGAACACACACTCTGAACACACACACTGAACACACACACTGAACACACACTCTGAACACACACACACTGAACACACACACACTGAACACACACTCTGAACACACACACACTGAACACACACACACTGAACACACACTCTGAACACACACACACTGACACACACACACTGAACACACAATCTGAACACACACACTGAACACACACACTGAACACACACACTGAACACACACACTGAACACACACTGAACACACACACTGAACACACACACACTGAACACACACACTGAACACACACTCTGAACACACACACACTGAACACACTGAACACACAATCTGAACACACACACACTGAACACACACACACTGAACACACAATCTGAACACACAATCTGAAACACACACTGAACACACACACTGACACACACACTGAACACACACACTGAACACACACACTGAACACACACACACTGAACACACACACTGAACACACACACTGAACACACACTCTGAACACACTGAACACACTGAACACACACACTCTGAACACACACACACTCTGAACACACACACACACTGAACACACACACTGAACACACACTCTGAACACACACACACTGAACACACACTGAACACACACACTCTGAACACACACACACTCTGAACACACACACACTGAACACACACACACTCTGAACACACACTGAACACACACACACTGAACACACACTGATTCCTCTCAGCTGCATGCTTTCTCTGCAGAGCCTGAAATCTGATGAAGAGACAGGAAGCAGCAGGGTGGACCAGCAGCTCTTTCACAATAAAGGTAGTCTGCATCAGAAATCGGAACCAGAACCGGGTCTGAGGTTCTGACCTAAAGCTGCAGTGTTTTCCATATTAGCTAAAACTGTCTCCATATTGTGACGGATTGTAATGAGAACAGATCGATCCATCTGAAGAAATGCATCAAAAACAACCAATCAGAGCCAAGAGGCAGGGCTTAGGACTGCCAGTCACCCTCATGTACTCGCTGCTAAATGTGTGAATGGTGGAGAAACAACTGTTTATCTGCATTCATGCTTACGAACTAGCCTTAGCATTCATAACAGGCTATGCTAGCTATACCTAGCTAGCATAGCCTGTGCAAAGTGAGGACGGTTGACAGCACTAAGACACAACTCCTGGCTCTGATTGGTTGTTTCTATTTAGCAATGGGAAGGCAAAGATCGATCTGTCTCTTGACAAACTGGTGACGGGTTAAACCAGGGGTGGGCACTCCTGGTCCTCGAGGGCCGGTGTCCTGCAACTCTTGGTTGTCTCCCTGGTCCAACACACCTGAATCCAATAGCTGAATCACCTCCTAAATGCAATCAAGTTCTCCAGAGCCTCGCTAATAACCTCATTATTTGAGTCAGGTGTGTTGAAGTAGAGATACATCTAAAAGTTGCAGGAGACCGGCCCTCGAGGACCAGGAGTGCCCACCCCTGGATTAAACCGATACGGAAAAACATTTTCTATAAAAGTTACACAATGCAGCTTTAATTGCTGCCCTCTCTGCAGCAGATCAGCAGCAGGACGTAGGAGGAAGAGCAGCAGGATGTGATGTGGCTGCAGTGTGTGATCACCTGGAACTGCAGGTAGCTGGACCTCCAGACCCAGAACCAGAACCAGCTGAACCAGTCCTGATGATCCCACTGTGTCTGCAGGACGCTCTGCTCCAGAGATTAGATGCTAACCTGGATGCTAACCAGGATGGACGGGTTACCATCAGGAAGGTTCTGTGGAGCTCCGCCCCCACACTAAGCTCCACCCCTATCCGGTCAGCTGACCTGCAGAGGGCGCCACTCTGGGTAAAATTATCTTCTAAGAATATTCTGTTCAGACACGAGGAATTGAAAATAAACTCAGGTCTTTGTTTTAACAACGACCTGAAATAAAGACTTCGACTGAAACAACAGCAGCCATGCTGAGCAATATTGAGGATTTTTTTAAATTAAGACTTTATTAATGATAGAAGTAGAAAAAAGTCTACACTGAAAATAAAGTTTTATTATAAATAACAGACCTCCATCAATTACAGCATGAAAAGCAATAATATAAAACTTTATTTAGAAAAGCATTTATAATTCTAACCAGGGTCATTTTTCCCATTTCTGTTAGAATAACTATTTTTATTATTACTGATAATCACTGATGTCATAGTTAATTTGAAAAAGAAACTTTAATCCGATTACTAATTACTCCTTGAAAAATTAACTTAGATTACTGACTACTTGATTCAATAATCTAATTACATTTTTTTTAGTAACTTTTTAGTTACTTTCAGCATCTGCTGACAACAACCTTCCTCCAATCAATGTAAAATTACAGTTTTACCAATACTTGTGTTATCGCCATTTATTTTATAAACATCAACAATTTTTCCTAAACATTGTTGATGTTGAACCATTAAACAATCTGAAACTGAAGAATTAATCGTTTAACAAAAACACCTTGAGTAATTTTTGCATGTTTTTCTTTGTTCCACAATAGTCTGTAAAACTCTAGATAGGAGTTTAGAGCCCCCTTGCAGCCCCCTCTGTGTTACGGCCCTGCTGCAGCTCCTCCTGCGGCTCCACCAATCAGATGGCTGCACAGATTAGTGACAGCTAATGTTAGCCACAAAGTTTAAGGAAAGTAAAACTCACCTTCGTATCTGTGAATGTGTCACGAGGCAGACATCTTAAAACCTTCCTCCAGCTTATTGTTGGGGCTTCGGATCGATGTTCATCATTAACTGTCAGCTTTGACAAGCGCTGAAGCGCCGAGTGTAAAATGACATTTTCATCAGACTGGAAACGACCGAGCCGCTTTTCCCCAAACGCGGAAGCTGACCTGCAAAGAGCCCGTTAGACTAAAGTTCTGGTCCGGTTTAGATTGCTGATCCAGAACCTCTCTAACCCGGTTAAGAGATATAAATGTTTCACTGTGGTACAGTTTGACCCGATGCTCCTGAAGGCAGCACCGCCTGCTGACCAATCAGCAGCTAGCAGTGTGAGCAGCTGGGCGGGGTCAGAAGGAGAGCTGCAGGTGAACAGGTGTTTTCTCCTCAGGCAGCTGCAGTCTGTGATGTTCTGCAGAACCGGGCTGTGACCCAATGGGTCGGCATGGACAAGAGTCAGGTGTATCTGGGCCCAGAACCAGAACTAGTGGTTCTCCTAATGGTGGCCGTCGATTCAAATGGGTTCTGTAAAATCAGTTGGATTCAATCGGGCGGGTCAGGAATCAGGAATCCAGATTAGCAGATTTTATCCCTTCCTGTCTCTCCATCCAGAACCAGCAGCTGGTACCGGACGGCCCGGTCCGCTCCCTGCTGACAGCCACTGTGGGCCCCAGGGTTCTGACCCGGCTGGACGACGGGCGGGTGGCACCAGCCCAGAGCGCGTGGCGGCACTGTGGGCCGAGGCGGGCATCAGGAACAGCCACCAGATCCTGCAGGTGGGTCCAGACCCGGTTCTGTTGGATTACACCGGAATCAGAAGAAGAGGAGTCCCACAACACTCTGTCTGGTTCTGTTCTGGTTGCTTGCTGGCCTGATCACCGCACAACATATTACCTCAGAACCTCATCACTCGCATTCTAGTCAGACCGGGTCGGGTCGGTACCAGAGGTGTCCTATATTCATCCATGGTTGATTTGGAAAACTTCACTGCTGAACTGATGCTGATAATTAGATCTAGAAAATGCTAATAGAATAGAAGGTCATTCTTCTAGATGCTTTTCTTTAGTTTTTCATGTATGTTCTGGGTAAATAACTTTATATATTTGTTACATTTAATGAAGACAGTCGGTGATCAGCTGGAGGTTAGAGAACACACAGCAGAACCAGAACCGGGTCAGATGAACTGATGTTGGATCATTTCTGATGTTCATGAAAGTAGAAACAGCAGGAGAGGGAGAGCGATCAGCATGTCAGCCGCCTCCAGGAAAGAATCAGCCAATCAGAACCCAGAGCTGCCATGGACAGAAATAACAGGAAATAAAAAGTTACAATGACAGCAAACGGTGCAAACTGGAGAGTATAGAAGAAGAAGGAGAGGGGAGAGGCCAGGTCGTCCTGCAGCAGCCGGTAGCATCATGACTACAGGAGGAGCTCAGGATGACCCCGGCCAGCAGGTCAGGAAGGTTTAACACCACAAATATTCAGGGTGTCTTTATTATTATGAAACATCTCTAGACTCATTGTCAACAACAAATAACAGAAAAACAATAATAATAATAATAATCTGATAAACAGTCTAAAACTGGCAGCAGGTTTTCATTTCCTGTCTGTAATCTTGACAGATTAGACTAATCTGAATTTCTGGATATCTGAGTATCACCAGCTTTGATCCTATCTGCTGAACTGGGCCGAGCCAGAGCCCAGTGTGACTCCACCAGTAACCCAGCAGTCTGAAGAACGTTTATCATTCAGGAACAAACTGGGATCAGTGGGACAGATGGGACTAAACCAGTTTACTGCTGTTCCCTTCAGACCAACATGATGCAGATGTTCTGTCCTAGATCAGAGAAAGATCAGCTATGGATCTGTGATTTATCGGCTATGGATCTGTGATTTATCGGCTATGGATCTGTGATTTATCGGCTATGGATCTGCGATTTATCGGCTATGGATCTGCGATTTATCGGCTATGGATGTGATTTATCGGCTATGGATCTGCGATTTATCGGCTATGGATCTGCGATTTATCGGCTATGGATCTGTGATTTATCGGCTATGGATCTGCGATTTATCGGCTATGGATCTGCGATTTATCGGCTATGGATCTGTGATTTATCGGCTATGGATCTGTGATTTATCGGCTATGGATCTGCGATTTATCGGCTATGGATCTGCGATTTATCGGCTATGGATTTGCGATTTATCGGCTATGGATCTGTGATTTATTGCATGAGCTGACAAGAGAAGTGCATGAGATTAAATCCAGCCTGCAGTTTACAGAGAAAGCTGTGGATGACACAGAAGGCTGATAAGCAGAAGGCGTTCAGCGAGCGAATGAGGCGACTCGCTGCGTTTTTAGAGTTTGTGACGGCCTGTTGGCATTTAGCAGTATTCACAGTTTATGACTGTAACTGCAACAAAACTGATCAAAACATCAAATCATACAGACGGTTCAGTTAGAAGATTCACTGAAGGCACTAAAAGCTGGTTTGGTGACTCATGAACAGAGATTAATTTATAGAGAGAATGATGTGAATTCACCCTATGAAGAATTTAAGAATATTTAAATTACTATATGACAAAAACTGTCTAGTTAAGGAAAATAAAATGAAAAGCAGAAAAATGAGCAGTGGATTACAAAAGGAACATCCATCCATTGTCTGTTCAGCCTTGACCCTAGTGGGGCGGGAGACGGGTCAGGAGAGGCGGGGTCACCTGGACAGGTCGCCAGGCTACAAAAGGAAACAAAAAATTTAAAAAGAAAACCAAACGTTTTAGCGAATTTATAAAACATACACTCTGGTACAGACAACAAATATAAGATAATAAAAATGAGTTAACAAATATTATAAGGCCATGTAAAAAAGAATATTACTATAAATCATTGGACAGTAATAAAAATACTAAGGCGACATTGAACATTTTAAATAGTGTTATCAGGAAAACATCTAAATTTAACAATTATCCACAGTATTTTTTAGATAATGACCAGAATATTACAAATATAAAGAATGTAGATCAATTCAATAGTTATTTTGTGAATATGGGAGCTCACTTAGCTGAAAAAATAACTGCAATAAAAACAGCAACTCATCTAAATTATGTATCTGAACCTCAATTAGAGATATTGTGATATTGTGAATGAATGTAAAGGTAAAGCCTCCACTGATGGATGATCTCACATGAAAACCATTAAAATGGTGATGAGGGAATCTCTAAACACTTACGTTTGTAATTTATCGTTTCCCAACAAAATGAAAATCCATGATTAATTAAATCATGGATTTGATCTTTGCTAACTGGCAATAGTCACTAATTACATGCCTGTCTCTCTTCTCTAAAATCCTAGAAAAACTTCAATAAGACAAACGTTCAATACGACGAGAGCAAATTGGTCAACATCACCAGCCTTCATCATGCATGTTAGCTTCAAGCTTTGTGAGCTAGGTCGTTAACGAAGAAGCTAGCTCAGGCTTCGAAGCTAGAATTGAAACTAACGGTCTGAGCTAGCGCTGAAGCTACATTCAGGCTAACGGCATCAGTCAGTGTGAAGGTTAAAGGTCCCACCATGATGATCTGATCAGGATTTACCAATAAATCAAATAAACTCGACCCAATAATCGATTGTCAGCTGGACAAACCTGCATCCAGAACCTTCAATCTGCAGCATTAGTCTGAGCAGCGCCCCTTGCTGGTAGGTCTGGTTCTGTAAAGCTGTGTGTGTGTGTGTGTGTGTGTGTGTGTGTGTGTGTGTGTGTGTGTGTGGTGTGTGTGTGTGTGTGTGTGTGTGTGTGTGTGTGTGTGTGTGGTGTGTGTGTGTGCAGAGCCTGGACTTCCCCTGGAGGAGCGGCTCAGCCTATCGGACCTGACCCTGGTTCTGGACAACGAGCTGCTGCTGAGCTCTAACTCTGTCCACCAGGCGGCGCTCATCTCCTACAGGACTGAGATCCAGCACCTGCAGTAGGCTCCAGAACCGGCTGGCCCGAGTTGGCCCGCCCGGACCCGGTTCTGACGCCTCCTGTCTTCCAGGGAGGCGTTGGAGCAGGCCAGCAGGGAGCGGGACAAGTTGAGGTCCGATCTGGACCGGGCCGACCAGCAGAACCTGCAGCTTGTCCGGGAGGCGGACGACCGGCACGCCAGCATGGAGGCGCTCAACCAGAACCGGATCAGGTAGGACTCGGTTCTGGAGCCGGACGGGTCAGAGGAGGTTCTGTAAAGTTCTGACCCATAAAGTGTGTGCGGGAGACAAGGTCGGTTCTGATGGACCCGTTCTGACCCAACAGGGATCTGGAGTCGGACTTCAGGCGCCGAGCTGCGGCGCTGCGGCTGCAAGCGGAGCAGGAGAGCGAGGCGCTGCTGCAGCAGGGCGAGCGAGAGCGCAGCGCGCTGCTGCAGGAGCTGCAGCTGCTGCGGGCCAAGGAGGCGGAGCTTCAGGAGGAGCTGGATGCCGTCGCACAGGTTGGTTCTGCTGGTTTTGACCCAGTTCTGCTGGTTCTGACCCAGTTTTGCTGGTTCTGACCCAGATCTGCTGGTTCTGTGCCCAGGAGAAGCAGCGCCAGCAGCAGGACCTCTGCGCCTTGCAGTCGGCGCTGAGGGAAGCAGATGGTTCTGTTCAGAGGTTGCAGATGGATCTGGACCAGTTGCTGCTACACAAGGTGACCAGAACCGGCCTGCCCCGACCCGGTCTGGTGCTCCAGTCCAGGTGCTCCGGGCCGGGTGTTAGTGAAACCCAGCCGGGTCCGGTTTCGTTTCCAACTCTCCTGATGAATGTTTGATGAGCCCGTGTCTCTGCTGCGAACGGATCAGAACCGCTGGGCCGCTCCGCTGACTGCTCTGCTCTCAATGTTCTGACAGCTCGGTGGTTTGGACCCGGCCGGCGCCGGCCTGAGCCATGAGGAACGGTTCTGTGAGCTGCTCAGAGAGTCCCAGCGCCAGTGCAGGGTAGGTCCAGTATCGGTCAGACCCGGCAGAACTTCAGAGCCCAGCAGGACGCTCACCTGTCTGTCCGTGGTGCGTTCAGGAGCTGCAGGACAGAAACGACGAGCTGAGCTCAGAGCTGCTGGAGGCCCGGAGGAGCAGCAGAAGGTCCTCCAGGCCACCAGGGGGCGCCGGCAGCCAGCGCGACGCAGCAGGTACCACAGCAGCCTGGCCGGGTCAGAACCAGAACCTGTTTTCTGCTCTCTGATTGGCTGATGAAGGAACTAGAACTTTACCCGACCCGGTTATGGTTCTGACCCGATCAAATTCAGAACCTTCTGGACTTGAGGAGTTCCTCTCTCCTGGTTTCTGTCCAATCAGAGAGGTGCTTGTTTCTCTCCCTCTAAGTGGGTCTGGTTCTGATCGGTTCTGGTTGGTTCCGGAGGGTCTGGACCTGGAGGTTCTGTTGACCCAGAATCATGAGGAACCAGAAGGTTCTGATGCTTTCAGGCTCAGATTTTTGTCCAATCATGAACGATGTTGTGGGACAGAATCACCATAGCAACCACTGCCTTCCCTTCACAATAAGAGCCGTCAGCCAGGTTCTATGGGGGAAGGTTCTGGAAGCTTTGGAACCGGGAGAACGGGCCGGACCGAGCCGCTGAGTCACAGGCTGCCAGAACCTGCAGGTCTGGCTAAGCCCCGCCCACTAACACACACCTGCAGAGCAGCAGAGTGTGTGTGTGTGTGTGAGCGGCACCATGTCTCTCAGTGAGTTCCTGTTCTCTTCTGGGTTTGGTTCTGGTTCTGGTTCTGACCCGGTCTCTCCTCCCCAGGCGACCCGGACATGAGGAGCATCCAGTCGGAGCTGGCGCTGCAGCAGCTGAAGGAGAGCCACCAGGAGGAGCTGCAGCAGCTGCACATCCAGCTGGAGACCCAGGTACCGGTTCTGCTGATGGCTCGATGGTACCGGTTCTGGTCCAGCAGAACCTCTTACTTTTCGTCCTCCTCTCCCTCAGATGAACTACTACGAGCGGCAGCTGGACATGATGAAGCAGAACATGGAGGTGGAAAGGAAGGACATCTGCCAGGCCTTCAAGGTGAGCCAGACCAGAACCAGAACCAGAGGTCCAGCTGCTGCTGAGGATGATGATGTTGTTTCTTCATCAGGTGGAGATCAGTGAGCTGGAGGAGCAGAAGGTCCAGGTGGAGCAGCAGCTGAAGGAGGCGCTGACCCGCCTCCAGAACCAGCAGGGGGCGGGGCTTACCGCTGAGGAGCAGCGCAGGTCTGCCGCCTGCTGGTTCCTGTGGGTTCTGCCGGGTCAGAACGCTACAGTGACCCGGTTCCGGTTCTGTTCAGGGTGCAGCGAGAGCGGGCCGAGCTGGAGCAGAACTACGCCAGAGAGATCAGCAACCTGGTGCAGAAGCTGAGCGCCGAGAAGGAGCAGCTGGAGGCGGAGCTTAAGCTGCACGCACAGCAGGAAGTGATGCGCATCAGGTAAGTGGGCCAATCACAGACTGGCGTCACAAAGCGTCCCGCAGCCAATCACAGCCGAGCTGCCGCTGTGAGCAGGAGGGAAGAAGCGGCCCCATGGTCCGGCCAATCGCAGGCTGGCTTGGAGGGGGCGGAGCCAGTGGCAGCAGGCAGTTCTGCTCCTCAGAACCGGGTCGGACTCCCTAAACCGGATCAGGAGCGTTGAGATGGCGCTGAGGGAAGCGCTGCAGGAGGAGCAGAACCGGACCTCCCTGCTGCAGGAGGAGGCGACCTGGTTGGGCCAGGAGAACAGAACCTACATGGTTCTGGTGGACCAGCTGTCCTCCAGATCGTGGAGATGGAGGAGGAGCTGTGCTCTCTCAGCGCCACCTCCAGAACCTCGGAGCTGCAACGGGCCCTGCTGGACTCCCAGAACCAGCTGAGCAGAACCCAACAGAACTTTGACACAGAGAAGAGGAGGCTGGCCCGGCAACTGGTGGAGTTGGAGAACCTGGTTCTGGAGCTGGAGGTCCGGACCGACTGGGAGGACCAGGCCAACCAGACCGGACCTCACAGGTTTGTCAGCGAAAGTGGACTGGAGCAGGTCTGTACGGCCAATCAGAACGCACGGCTCCATCTCTAACCGGCCAATCAGAACGCACGGCTTCATCTCTAACCGGCCAATCAGAACGCACGGCTCCATCTCTATCCGGCCAATCAGAACGCACGGCTCCATCTCTAACCGGCCAATCAGAACGCACGGCTCCATCTCTAACCGGCCAATCAGAAACGCACGGCTCCATCTCTAACCAGCCAATACTCTTAACTGCATGAATTTCATGGACCAATCAGGTCCTTCTATGTGAACTAACTGCTCGGTTCCGGTTCTGGTTCCGGTTCAGGTTGTGTATCTTCTGGTTCTGTTGGGTTCTGTCCTGCAGGGCACAGCTGGAGGCGGTCCGGTCGGAGAATGCGGCTCTGCAGGAGAGGCTGAAGGTTCTGCAGCAGACGGTCCAGAACCTGGAGGATGAGTCTGAGAAGAGGAGGTGAGTCCGGCTCCAGGTCTGGGTTCTGACCTGCTACCGGTTCTGGATGAGTCTGACCCGGTCCGCTGTTCTGCTAACAGGAGGAGGCAGCAAGAGGTGGAGGAGGAGCAGGAGAGGAGCAGAGAGGAGGAGGAGCGGCTCCACAGAGAGGTTCTGACCCGGCCCGCAAGTGCAGCCAGACTGTCAGACTTTCACAATAAAGGTTTCTGGAGGCTCCCAGTGAGGCAACAGAGAACTTTACTATGTTCTTCTGAGCTGGGAGGCATCAGAACCTCCTGGTCCCGGTCGGTGTTGGTCCAGAATCTGCAGGTTCTGGTGTCGGAGGTGGTCCAGAACCGGCCTCCAGACTCCTGACCCGCCTTCTCCCGCTGCAGAACTCCCGGTACCGTGAGGAGGTTCTGGACCTGAGTGGCAGGAACCTGCAGCTCAGCAGTGACAACAGCAACCTTAGCAACCGTCTCCATAGCGAGCAGGAGACGGTGCTGATGCTGCGGGAGCGCCTAGCAACCGTTACCAAGGAACAGGAAGAGGAGGGGGCTGCTGTGAGTTTGGCGGATAGGGCAGAGTTCAAAGGTAAAAGCTGTTGGTGCTGACGGGTGCTGTTGTTTCAGGTGAGGCAGCTGGAGGCGGACCTCAGCAATGTGAAGGCGGAGCTTAGCGGGTGAGGGCGGAGCTACAGAAGGTGGAGGAGGAGAGGGAGGATCTGCAGAAAGACCAGCAGCAGCAGAAATGCAACGTAAGATATGCAGCCGGCGGGCACAACACACCTCACAGTAAGACACGCCCCTATGATGAGAGTCACGCCCCTTTGATGAGACACGTACCTATGAGAGTCACGCCCTTATGATGAGAGACACGCCCTTATGATGAGAGACACGCCCCTGTAGTATGAGCAATAGAACTGCTAAGAGCTTCTGTTCCAGAAGCTTCGTGTCATAGTTACACAATGACACGATTTCAGAATCGTGTCATTGTGTAACTAAATAATTCTCATTTAACTCGATGTTTTCAATCAGCAGTGAAAGATGACAGGATGGTTCTTCAGTGAAGTCAAAGAAATGCTTCATAATAACAGTAATAAATATGAGTTTGACCTAAAGTCTAATGATCAAGATCAGCCATTCTGTCCAGTCCAACATTAACAGGGATTAGAGCATCTCCCCCTGCTGGAGTCAGGCTGTAGCTGCAGCTTCTTGTCCTGCAGGTGGAGCAGGTGCAGCAGCAGGTGCAGCAGCAGGTGCAGCAGCATGTCGCCGCCCTGCAGGCTGAGATGGAGCTGCTGCGCTGCCAGCTGCTGGCCGCCACGCAGGAGAAGCGGGGCTGTGCCCAGGAAGTGTCGGAACTCCACAGGAAGCTGAGGGAAGCACTCAGTAAGGTGAGCTCTTCTGCAGCCTTTATGATTGACCCGATTCTGACTGATTCTGACCCGGTTCAGATTGGATTTCTTGGCTGCAGGGTGGAGGAGCAACAGGCTGAGGCCCAGAGGTTGATGGAGGAGAAAGCAGAGCTGCAGCAGAACCTGCACACCCACAAACTGACAGTCCGGAACCAGGAGCTGCAGCACCAGGTACCAGGGGGCGGGGCTTCACGATTAACCACAGGTCCAGTCTGGAACCTGTAGAACCGGGTCCAGACTGGACCCATGATGACGTGCCTGAACCAGGAGCAGAACCTGAAGTCCAGACTGGACCAGGCGGAGACGGCGCGGACACAGGCAGAGGAGCAGGTCAGAACCGGACAGGAATTGGGTTAGAACCGGACCAGAATCAGATAAGAGAGAGCAGAGAGTCCATCAGCATAAGGTCAGGAGACGGTGAATCCTCTGAGTGATTCACAGAGAGAAGCTAACGTCCTCAGGCTAACGGTCTGAGCTAATGTTCTGAGCTAGCAGTCAGGCTAACGGTGAGCTAACGTTCTGAGCTAGGAGTCTGGCTAACGGTCTGAGCTAATGTTCTGGGCTAGCAGTCAGGCTAACGATCTGAGCTAATGTTCTGAGCTAGCAGTCAGGCTAACGGTCTGAGCTAACGTTCTGAGCTAGGAGTCAGGCTAACGTTCTGAGCGAGGAGTCAGGCTAATTAAGCTAATGTTCTGAGCTATCTGTCAGGCTAATGTTCTGAGCTAGCAGGCAGGCTAACGGTCTGAGCTAACGTTCTGAGCTAGGAGTCAGGCTAACGGTCTGAGCTAACGTTCTGAGCTAGCAGGCAGGCTAACACCATCAGATCATAAAGTTTGTGATGATCTGATTAAAGACCATCTAGATTTAAACAACAAGCGATTTTAGCAAAGTTGCTGCTCCACCTCACCTAGAGCAGAAGAACAGAGTCAGAACCGGGTCAGAACCCATGTGTGTGTTTGCAGGCGCAGCGGGTGGATGCGGAATTAGGCGTGGCAAAGGCGCAGCAGCTGCGGCGGCTGCAGGAGCATGCGGGCAGCAGGCAGCTGCTTGAGCAGCTGCAGGCGGAGCTGCAGGCAGAGCGGGGACGGAGCCAGCAGCGACAGGCGCAGCTGGAGCTGCAGCTGAAGCAGAGCAGATCCCAGGCCAGTCTGAAGCAGGTGGGTTCAGAACCAGAACCGGCCCAGCTGTACAGGTTCTGGTTCTGACTGCTTCTGTGCTGCCTTCAGGAACAGTTCGACAAAACGGCGGCGGCGCTGCAGCAGCGGGCCTCGGGGCTGGAAGCGCAGGTCAAGGTGCTGCGCGGCGTGCTGCAGGACAACGTGCAGCAGCTGAAGGAGCAGGTGAGTCTGTGATTCTGTTGGCGGCCACTCGCCAGCCCATTCTGACCTCGGGTTCTGACCTTTGGTTCTGTCCAGATGGAGCGGAGCAACAAGATGAGCGGCGCGCTGAAGGAGCTGCACCTGCAGAATGCGCAGCTGCTGGCGGCGCTGCAGGTTACAGAGCTGCGGCAGAAACAGGCAGAGAAGAAGAAAGATCAGCTGGAGGACAAGGTCACAGCACTGGGGTGCTACTGAGGGAGGTGGTGGCCGCCGCCATGACCTCCAGCTGACCTGTAGCTGGGAGCCGACGACCTTCAGCAAGGAGGCATCCAATCAGAGCTCATCTCCTGGCGTTTTTAGCTGCTCTCCACGCAGACGTTTGAAGCCGATTTCTTTTTTTTCTTATTTCTTCAGATTGTTTTCTTTCTGAAATTATTCAGCTTTAATTTGATAGAAAAACTGATTATTTGTAATAAATGTTTTTAATATAATTTATGTGAAATTTTTTTAATTTGATCAAATTTTCAAAGTTTTCTAACCTGTCGGCTCAGTGTCACTGTGTGTGAACTGGTGGGCGTGGCCTCCCACCTGGACAGGTGCTAGGTTTTTACCTCAGAGTGAGACCTCCTGTTCTGGGTTAAAATGAGGATTTCACCTGAATCTGTGAAATCTGCCCGGCAACACACTTAACTCTCAGTTACGACACAAAGGAAGGAACAAAACAACTTTATTTGTAAAAAGCAAACATGGCCGCTGAGATGCCGTCTGTCTCCTGGACGTTATGACATCACATGCTCCAGAACGCCCTGGCGAATCAGCTGCTCACATTTCCACCGTGGCAGGAAGTGCTGCGGACAAAAACCACTTCGTGTCAGGATGAGTCAGAATATGGGCCACTTGTTCACTTCCTGTCTCAGCAGGAAGCAGCTGCATTCCCAGGACCTCCAGTTACATCCCATTAAAGCGCCAGCAGGACCGTCGTCATATTGCGCTTCTCATCACTGTCATGGAGTCTGATCTCACCTGGCTGTTCTTCTTCAGCAGGATCACCGTTCCGTCGTCGATCTCGAACTCACCGTGGTCCTTCAGGCATCTGACCTGGAAAAGCACAGGGAGGTCAGCGGGGTCAGGCTGCAGGTCAGAGGTCAGAGGTCAGACTCACCTGGATGTAGAGGCTCTTTGGAGGCTTCATGTCCTGCGTGATGTCCAGTCCCTCCTGTCCTCCGATGGACCGCATGAAGGAGGCCAGGGACTTTTTATACTGGCCAAACCACTGCACCTGAACACACCACACACACAGGTGCTCTCAGCCTTCAGGTGAGCCAGCAGAGACCCCCCTCAACAGGAAGTGATGTCACTGACCTCCTCTGCTGACATGTGGAAGCGGACGTTAGCGGGCAGAACGCTGCCGCACTCCCAGCGTAGCGCACGGATCCTCAGCAGACGGTCGTACCTGCAAACAGCAGGTCAAAGGTCAGCATCAGAGGTCACACGACCCGGGCCGGCAGGTCACATGACTGCGGACGGAGTTACAGGTAGGCCACGACGCAGCGCTGGTTCCTCAGCAGGCAGCAGTGGCGCAGCTTGATGGAGGGGATGAGGTCAGCGCGGCCGGCGGCCTTCGCCTCCGACCTGCAGGAGACGGAGAGGTCAGGAGGTCAGACAGAGCGCAAGCGGTTTCTGGACTGGTACCAGGAAATAGTTCCCTTAAAGGGCCAGTATTATGTTTTATAGCACAATCAGCAACTGTGTCGCCTTCTGGTGTTAAAAAATTGCTGTTCATATCAAATATGGGCTAAAAGGAATTTGACTTCCTGCCTTAACGCCTTTTAACCCTTTAATATTTACCAGCATCACTCTGAGCAGCAGCTGTTTGCTAATTGCTTCTGGCTAGTCTGAAGGGGGACAAGGTCCAACAAGGCGTTTTACACAGCTGAATGGTTGCCATGGAAAACATGATGAGTTCACAGGATACTGGCGCTTTAACTGTGAGCTCCGGGTCAGAGGTTGGTTCTGAAAACCATCTGAAGCCAACAGGAACTTAAACCCAACCAGAACCAACCTGGACCCTGTAGAACCGTGCAGTGGGTCGGTACTCACACATCAGCCTGGTTCTGTATGTACAGATCCTCCATCTCCTGCAGAACCTGCCGCAGTCCGTCCTCCTGGAACCAAGAACTGATTCCAATTAATTTCTCTTCATATTTTGAAACTTTCAATCATGAGTTCAACTGAACTCTCAGTTTAACCTTTAGACTGAGAAGTTGTTGTTCAGCAGAGATCCGCAGAACAACTAGAAATCCGACATTGTGTAACCCCTGACCCTGCAGCACAACCCACAGATGGAGGCCTCAGTCCTCGACGCGGCTGTCGCGGGTTCGATTCCCGGCCTGGTGATCGCATGTCTTCCCTTCTCATGTTTCCTGTCAATTTACTATCATATAAAGGCCACTACGGCCGTTATTTTAAATAAATAATTGATGTTAAAAATAAACTTGACCGTGTTCATCTGAGCCGAAACGTTAAATGAAGAGACTATTTTCTGCACACATTACTGTTTTATCTGAGGTTTACAGTTTCCGTCTTAAATCAGCGGTCGAACCTTAAACCAGGAAGTTTCTGGGCGGAGTTCTCTGCTGCGGGATCCCCCGGATACTCACATTGAAAGCGGCAGCTGGCCGCCGCTCGCCCGGTGCAGCTCCCGGATCAGCTCCAGGGCTTTCTCACAGAACATCCTGGGGCTCGGAACCGAACAGAACCGGGACTGACTGACCCTCAAGGCAGAGATGCAGCTTCGCGGGAAAATACTTTGTTGTGGTCACGTGACTCGGTGACGTAATTGTCCGGAAGCCGCGGAGGGACAAACAGCAGCAGCTCCAGCGGCGATGTGGTGAAACCGGCCAGAGCTACCGGGTAGGATTCTTCATTTATTGATGACTTATCGGTGATTCATTGGTGATTTGTGCACGTTTTGTTGTTGCTGATGTTTCTCAACAAAACCAATCAGTTTGGCTCCAAGATCAATGACTTCACCTGCGACAGTACTTCCGGTTCAGGGCAGCGTTAAAACCAATTCAAATTAGATCAAATTTTTTTCAGTTCAGCCTGAGGTTCGGCCGAACCCAACAGAACCAACCGTGTGAACCAACCATAACGGTGCGAGTTTCGTTATGAACGTTTTACTGGTCTGTTTTCCATCACGTGACCTTTCAGCCCAGTTTCAGGAAGCGGGTCATCAAACTGACCCCCCCTGTGGACAGTCACCATGGCAACGGGAGGAAACGTGAATGAGCATTTCCACCAAAACAATCAGAAATGTTACTTGAAGAAAATCAAAACATGTGAAACAATAAAAGCAACAGATTTAAAGTCCTAAAACTGAAACATCAGTTTTATTTGCTTTGACAAATGAGAGCAAATGTCAGGTGGACAGCCCGCCCTCACCTGGGGGAGACCAGCTCCTGATTGGTCGGCTTTATGGAGGCGAGAAGCTGCTGTTTGAGCTCTGAACACTAGGGGGAGCAGTCGAGATTTAATCATAATTACATTAAAACATGCTTTAAATCTGAAAACCTACCTGCCTCAGTGAGGCGTTCAGGGACACACGGTTAAATAGAAAGCTTTTGGCTGTTTCAGAATAACAACAGGAAGATCTGGAGTCGCTTTGTTCTCTGAAGGTTTCATGAAGATTTTATAAATAAACTTTTATAAAAACCTTTTAAATATTCTTCACGCAAACTGTTAAAACGCGTCACATATGATTTATTAATCTTCTTTATTAAATTGCATGCATGTTTCAATTATTAATTTGTTTTAGTGAGCGTTAAATCTACTAAAATTTCCGAGCTGTGCCTGAACGCAACGCTGGTTTTGTTTTGGAAGCCATTGTTCCGACGCTTCCCCAGAGACCATGAAGGCAGCACCGCTCTGACCACGTGGTCTGCAGCCTGCCTCCCGATTGGCTGTGGCAGCCCCGGCTCTGATCAGCTGTTCTCTGCGGATGTCAGTGCGGCTCCAGCGGGCGCTCGGTCTGGCTGCCGCCGCCTCTCAGCGCTCGCACGCCGCCCAGAACGAGGCCTCCTCACCGCGGACCGGGCCCGCTTTTCGGCCACCTTCCCCCGGGTAACGAGCCGTCTCTCTGCCGCTTCCAGTGATGCGGAGGCGGAGCTCCCTGACCGCGGAGAAGGACAGCGACCCGGAGCTGAAGCAGCGAGCCGGCAGAGCGGCGGCGCATCCGGCGACCCGAGGCCGACAGGGCCCGGGAGAGGAGCCGGGGATGGGGAAGAGACCGTTCAGGAGGTGAGCACCGAGGAAACAGGTGGGGAGGGGAGTCTAGAGAAAATGGTGAAAAACATAAACTGAATAATTCAATAAAAAGATTAAAGTCTTTAAGGTTTTGAAGTTTGGGTGGGACATCAGAGGACAAAGAACCAGTCTCACTGGCAAGACTAGTCAGACTGGTTCCAGTGAGACTGTTGAGCTGGTTGGACTGGAAGGTCAGTCTGGAGACACTGAGGGACATTTGGAGACACTGAGGGACATTTGGAGACACTGAGGGACATTTGGAGACACTGAGGGACATTTGGAGACACTGGGGGACATTTGGAGACAGGACCACATGTTTCTAAGTCTTGATGTTGACACTGAGGCGCTCAGACCAAAGATGCGGTTCTGAGCTGATTTGGACCATCTGGACCGGGCCGGCTGGTTCTGTGCAGTCGGAGCAGTGACCTCAGCGGCTCAGGAGGTCAAGAGGTCACGTGATCCTCCTGTTCCTCCTGAAGCTGATCTCAGATCAGGGCGCTGCAGAACCTTCTGGACGAACCTGACCCGGTTCTGGTTGGTTCCAGAACTGGGTCAGGTTCTGGCCCAGGCTGTTCAGGTCCAGATATTCTGACCCGCCGCAGGAAGCGAAACTGAGCAGAACAGGAAGTCTGGAGTCTGACTCGGCGTCATGTGACCCTGAACGCAGCAGCTGTGATGCGTTCACTGACCGCTTGGCCCCGCCCCTCCCCATGACCCCCAGTCAGAACCACCAGATCTGGACCGGTCCATCTGGCTGTGGACGGGCCAGTGGACGGTTCTGATACCGACCCAGAACCTTCAGAATCTTTGACCTCAGTCAAATACAGCCAGGTTCTGGTTCTGGCTAGGTCCATCTAGCCAGAACCAGAACCTTCCAGCAGGTGTGACCCAGTAAATCGTCCTCATTGTTCTGGAGTCAGTCAGAACCGGTTCTGACTGGTATCAGTCGGGCAGCAGGGATCCGAACCTCTGCGGTTCTGTTTGGACCTGATGCTGCCAGCTGCTGTCTGGCTCGGCTTACTGGTTCTGTGCAGATCCGGTCTCTGGTTCTGGTTACCAGAAACTGGATCTGAACAGTTTCTGGTAACCAGACAGGTCGGAACTGGATGACCCGCTGTTGGATCCGAACAGAACCGCTCTGGACATGTTCAGCCCGGTCCAGTAACACTTTGTGGACAGACCGGCTGCTCCAGTGAACAGAACCAGAACCGGTTCAAAACTGGACCCAGTACTCCTCAGAACCATCCTGCTGGTCTTTCTGTCTTCCTCCATGAATTATTGATCTGTTCTGAGCGCGCTCAGTCTGGGTCGGGTCGGGTTTCTCCGGGGTCGCTCCATCAGAACCATCAGAACCTGCTGGCCTGACAGAGATTGTGTCTCAGGAGAGATGTTCCACTCTGTCCGGCCGTAGCGGCGTCGGTTCCGTCTGATTGGCTGTTCTCTCCTCAGGCTGGGGCTGCTGGGAAAGATGAAGAGGATGATGATGGTGCTGCTCTTCGTCTACGTCTCCATCCCCTTCATCATCAAGCTCTTCCCCTCCATCCAGGCCAAACTCGTCTTCCTCAACTTCGGTGAGTTTCAGTCGGACCTGAACTGAGCTGTGATTGGCCGGTTCAGCGCTGCATGGCAGCCAGCAGGGGGCGGTGTAGGACAGCCGTTTCACCCAGCATGCACTGCTCCAGGATGGAGCGCAGCCTTCCTCCGTCTGGTGAACTGCTTCCTGTTTCCTGTGCTGCCTTCAGGCAGCGTGGGACATCATAGTTCTGTAGCTTCAGCTGAGCAGAACCAATCAGAACCTGCTGCTCATAACACAGAAACAAACGGACCAATGGCGAGCTGCCAGAGAGGTCATGTGACCTGTGTGTTTTTTGTCCCAGTGAGGATGCCGTACTTCATCGACCTGAAGCGACCTCTCTGGATCAGGGGCTGAACCACACACACAACTTCTACCTGGAGCCTGAGGCGGGCCTGAAGATCGGAGTCTGGTACCAGAACCACACAGAACCTACAGAACCACACAGAACCACACAGAACCTACAGAACCACACAGAACCACACAGAACCACACAGAACCTACAGAACCTACAGAACCACACAGAACCACACACAGAACCACACAGAACCTACAGAACCACACAGAACCACACAGAACCTACAGAACCACACAGAACCACACAGAACCACACAGAACCACACAGAACCTACAGAACCTACAGAACCACACAGAACCTACAGAACCACACAGAACCACACAGAACCACACAGAACCTACAGAACCACACAGAACCACACAGAACCACACAGAACCTACAGAACCACACAGAACCACACAGAACCTACAGAACCACACAGAACCACACAGAACCTACAGAACCACACAGAACCACACAGAACCCACAGAACCACACAGAACCACACAGAACCACACAGAACCACACAGAACCTACAGAACCACACAGAACCTACAGAACCTCACAGAACCACACAGAACCACACAGAACCACACAGAACCTACAGAACCACACAGAACCTACAGAACCACACAGAACCACACAGAACCCACAGAACCTACAGAACCACACAGAACCTACAGAACCACCCAGAACCTACAGAACCACACAGAACCTACAGAACCACACAGAACCTACAGAACCTCACAGAACCTACAGAACCACACAGAACCTACAGAACCTACAGAACCACACAAAACCTACAGAACCACACAGAACCTACAGAACCTACAGAACCACACAGAACCTACAGAACCTACAGAACCACACAGAACCTACAGAACCACACAGAACCTACAGAACCACACAGAACCTACAGAACCTACAGAACCACACAGAACCACACAGAACCTACAGAACCTACAGAACCACACAGAACCTACAGAACCACACAGAACCACACAGAACCTACAGAACCACACAGAACCTACAGAACCACACAGAACCTACAGAACCACACAGAACCACACAGAACCTACAGAACCTACAGAACCTACAGAACCTACAGAACCACACAGAACCTACAGAACCACACAGAACCTACAGAACCACACAGAACCACACAGAACCTACAGAACCTACAGAACCACACAGAACCACACAGAACCTACAGAACCTACAGAACCACACAGAACCTACAGAACCATACAGAACCACACAGAACCTACAGAACCACACAGAACCACACAGAACCTACAGAACCTACAGAACCACACAGAACCTACAGAACCATACAGAACCACACAGAACCTACAGAACCATACAGAACCACACAGAACCTACAGAACCACACAGAACCTACAGAACCACACAGAACCACACAGAACCTACAGAACCTACAGAACCACACAGAACCACACAGAACCTACAGAACCTACAGAACCACACAGAACCTACAGAACCATACAGAACCACACAGAACCTACAGAACCACACAGAACCACACAGAACCTACAGAACCTACAGAACCACACAGAACCTACAGAACCATACAGAACCACACAGAACCTACAGAACCACACAGAACCACACAGAACCTACAGAACCACACAGAACCATACAGAACCTACAGAACCACACAGAACCACACAGAACCTACAGAACCATACAGAACCACACAGAACCACACAGAACCTACAGAACCATACAGAACCACACAGAACCACACAGAACCTACAGAACCTACAGAACCACACAGAACCTACAGAACCTACAGAACCACACAGAACCACACAGAACCTACAGAACCACACAGAACCTACAGAACCACACAGAACCACACAGAACCTACAGAACCATACAGAACCACACAGAACCTACAGAACCACACAGAACCTACAGAACCACACAGAACCACACAGAACCTACAGAACCACACAGAACCTACAGAACCACACAGAACCACACAGAACCTACAGAACCACACAGAACCACACAGAACCTACAGAACCACACAGAACCACACAGAACCTACAGAACCATACAGAACCACACAGAACCACACAGAACCTACAGAACCTACAGAACCACACAGAACCACACAGAACCACACAGAACCACACAGAACCTACAGAACCACACAGAACCTACAGAACCACACAGAACCTACAGAACCATACAGAACCACACAGAACCTACAGAACCACACAGAACCTACAGAACCACACAGAACCTACAGAACCACACAGAACCTACAGAACCACACAGAACCACACAGAACCTACAGAACCTACAGAACCACACAGAACCACACAGAACCTACAGAACCTACAGAACCACACAGAACCTACAGAACCATACAGAACCACACAGAACCTACAGAACCACACAGAACCACACAGAACCTACAGAACCTACAGAACCACACAGAACCTACAGAACCATACAGAACCACACAGAACCTACAGAACCATACAGAACCACACAGAACCTACAGAACCACACAGAACCTACAGAACCACACAGAACCACACAGAACCTACAGAACCTACAGAACCACACAGAACCACACAGAACCTACAGAACCTACAGAACCACACAGAACCTACAGAACCATACAGAACCACACAGAACCTACAGAACCACACAGAACCACACAGAACCTACAGAACCTACAGAACCACACAGAACCTACAGAACCATACAGAACCACACAGAACCTACAGAACCACACAGAACCACACAGAACCTACAGAACCACACAGAACCATACAGAACCTACAGAACCACCAGAATACAGAACCACCACAGAACATACAGAACCTACACAGAAAACCTACACAGAACCACCACAGAAACAGAACCTACAGAACCACACAGAACCACACAGAACCTACAGAACCATACAGAACCACACAGAAACACTACAGAACACACAGAACCTACAGAACCACACAGAACCACACAGAACCTACAGAACCTACAGAACCACACAGAACCTACAGAAAAACAGAACCTACAGAACCACACAGAACCACAGAAACAGAACCACACAGAACTACAGAACCACAGAACACACCAGAACCCACAGAAACTACAGAACCACACAGAACCACAGAACCTACAGAACCACACAGAACACTACAGAACCACACAGACACACAGAACACAGAACCACACGAACCTACAGAACCTACCAGAACCACACAGAACCACAGAACCAACAGAACCTACAGAACCACACCAGAACCACAGAACCTACAGAACCACAGAACCTACAGAACCACACAGAACCTACAGAACCACACAGAACCTACAGAACCACACAGAACCTACAGAACCACACAGAACACAGAACCACACAGACCTACAGAACCACACAGACCTACAGAACACAGAACCCACAGAAACAGAACCTACAGAACCACACAGAACCTACAGAACCACACAGAACCACAGAACCACACAGAACCTACAGAACCCACAGAACCTACAGAACCTACAGAACACCTACCAGAACCACACAGAACCACAGAACCTACAGAGAACCACACAGAACCTACAGAACCACACAGAACCACACAGAACCACACAGAACCACAGAACCACACAGAACCACACAGAACCACAGAACCACAACCACACACTACAGAACCACACAGAACCCTACAGAACCTACAGAACCACACAGAACCACACAGAACCTACAGAACCTACAGAACCACACAGAACCTACAGAACCACACAGAACCTACAGAACCTACAGAACCACACAGACCACACAGAACCACACAGAACCTACAGAACCACACAGAACCTACAGACCACACAGACCACACAGAACCTACAGAACCTACAGAACCAACAGAACCTACAGAACCACACAGAACCTACAGAACTACAGAACCACACAGAACCACACAGAACCACACAGAACCTACAGAACCCACACAGAACCTAAAGAACCTACAGAACCACACAGAACCTACAGAACCACACAGAACCACAGAACCTACAGAACCTACAGAACCATACAGAACCATACAGAACCTACAGAACCACAACAGAACCTACAGAACCACACAGAACCTACAGAACCACACAGAACCTACAGAACACACAGAACCACACAGAACCTACAGAACCTACAGAACCTACAGAACCACACAGAACCTACAGAACCACACAGAACCTACAGAACCACACAGAACCACACAGAACCTACAGAACCTACAGAACCACACAGAACCACACAGAACCTACAGAACCTACAGAACCACACAGAACCTACAGAACCATACAGAACCACACAGAACCTACAGAACCACACAGAACCACACAGAACCTACAGAACCTACAGACCACACAGAACCTACAGAACCATACAGAAACCACACAGAACCTACAGAACCATACAGAACCACACAGAACCTACAGAACCACACAGAACCATACAGAACCTACAGAACCACACAGAACCACACAGAACCTACAGAACCATACAGAACCACACAACCACACAGAACCTACAGAACCATACAGAACCACACAGAACCACACAGAACCTACAGAACCTACAGAACCACACAGAACCTACAGAACCTACAGAACCACACAGAACCACACAGAACCTACAGAACCACACAGAACCACACAGAACCTACAGAACCACACAGAACCTACAGAACCACAACAGACCACACAGAACCTACAGAACCACACAGAACCTACAGAACCACACAGAACCACACAGAACCTACAGAACCACACAAACCACACAGAACCTACAGAACCCACACAGAACCACACAGAACCTACAGAACCATACAGAACCACAGAACCACACAGAACCTACAGAACCTACAGAACCACACAGAACCACACAGAACCACACAGAACCTACAGAACCACACAGAAACCTACAGAACCACACAGAACCTACAGAACCATACAGAACCACACAGAACCTACAGAACCACACAGAACCTACAGAACCACACAGAACCTACAGAACCTACAGAACCACACAGAACCTACAGAACCACACAGAACCACACAGAACCACACAGAACCTACAGAACCTACAGAACCACACAGAACCTACAGAACCACACAGAACCTACAGAACCACACAGAACCACACAGAACCTACAGAACCTACAGAACCATACAGAACCACACAGAACCTACAGAACCACACAGAACCTACAGAACCACACAGAACCACACAGAACCACACAGAACCACACAGAACCTACAGAACCACACAGAACCACACAGAACCTACAGAACCATACAGAACCACACAGAACCACACAGAACCTACAGAACCTACAGAACCACACAGAACCTACAGAACACAGAACCTACAGAACCTACAGAACCACACAGAACCACACAGAACCTACAGAACCTACAGACAGAACCACACAGAACCTACAGAACCACACAGAACCTACAGAACCTACAGAACCACACAGAACCTACAGAACCACACAGAACCTACAGAACCTACAGAACACAGAACCTACAGAACCACACAGAACCACACATAACCTACAGAACCTACAGAACCACACAGAACCTACAGAACCACACAGAACCTACAGAACCTACAGAACCACACAGAACCACACAGAACCACACAGAACCTACAGAACCACACAGAACCTACAGAACCTACAGAACCACACAGAACCTACAGAACCACACAGAACCACACAGAACCTACAGAACCTACAGAACCATACAGAACCATACAGAACCTACAGAACCACACAAACCTACAGAACCACACAGAACCTACAGAACCACACAGAACCTACAGAACCTACAGAACCACACAGAACCTACAGAACCACACAGAACCACACAGAACCTACAGAACCTACAGAACCATACAGAACCATACAGAACCTACAGAACCACAGAACCTACAGAACCTACAGAACCACACAGAACCTACAGAACCTACAGAACCTAAAAAACCTTTTAGTTTTTTTGCCATTTATCAAAA